TAAAACTCAATTAAAAGAATCGACAAAAAAAATACACAATGAAATTTAGTTGCTCTTTATTTACTTTTGACGAGATTCATTTTTCTTTTTTTCTTTTGTTTTTTGCCATTACCATGTCTATCTTTATTCACTCTTGCCAATAAATATTGATGAATAAAGTAAATAAATGCAAATACTTTTCTCTATTGTCGTTATATTCTCTTTTTTTTTCGTCGCTGTGTTTGTTTAAAATACGTTCTTCTTTTACATTCACAACCACTTCTACTTTTCTAACCAAATGGCATCATAACATACTTTAAAATTGTTATTCGTTTGTCTATTTGACTACTAATGGCTGCTACGTCTTATTCAACATTACCTTCTAGTACATATGCTAGTTTTGGATCTAGACAAGATCCATCTCATTCAACTAATTATAGTAAAGATTTTATTATAAAATTTCTTTTCTTTAATCAATATTTATTTTCTAGGTACACATGATGCAGGTTTTGGTTCATTAAATTCACATCCATATCAATATGAAACAAATAGTTATGGTACTATTCCTATTGATAATCAACAAACAAAACTAAATAGTTATTCAAATTCAGAAGTACCTTTAACTAATTATAAATCTATAGATAAAAATAATAATAATAATCCCGGAAGTTATGGTGTGACAAATACTATGCAAACATCATATAAAAAGAATATGGATAATCAACAAGTAGAATCAAAGAACCATCAACAGGTACATATTTTTTTGTTACAAGAAAATATTTCAAAAGACATGTTTGAAATCTTTCATTTTCTTAGATCATTTTTATATTAGAAAATGCTAATTTTAATACTATAATAGTGGTATTTTATATCATAATAAATGTTTCAGAGCATATATAGGAAAAATCAAAAAGAAATTTCTTCCACAAAATCTTCTAGTTTAAATATTAAATATTATTTGAAATAATACCATAGATAATTACAACTTTTAAAAAATATTTCTATCAATTTTCACTTACAATAAACTATCCACAAAAGGTGTCATTTATCTCCAGATTATAGAAAATGTTAAATATCAATCAAAATTCTCAAAGAAGTTTCGTCATAACGAAAAAATAGAATAACTTTCACTTAACTTACATATATCAATGCCGAATCTTTTACTTTAGCATCAATTTAACTTTTCATTACAAAGATAGATAATTTTCAATTTAGTCTTTAATCACAAAAAGCAAAGAAATCAGATATTAAGGAAGACTACCATCTACCTTATGATACAGAATACTGCCCAGTGCCAGATTCAATAACTCGATATCTTCTCTAAAACTAATACTACCTTTAGTTCTAAACAGAAGGTCGAGCTGACACAGAACTCTTGAGGTTCCCATGTACACTAACTAGCCACAAGATTTTGGTCCCGGCTATTTTAGTTTTGCTAGTTCTGGTTCCGGTCTAAAGAAAAATATTCCAGAATCTATTCATATCACTTCTAAAATAATTTTTCAATATTCTTTCTTTTTACTTATTCAGACGACGACTATCACTTTTTGGGTCATCACTCTTGAATTATGTTTTGACTCATATGATTCATGAGATAATTTCCTTAAAACTACAAAATATGTTACTGGTCCTGTGAAAATTTTATTTTTTGGTTCCGCATATCTCTAGTAATCACGTAGTCAACATGCTAGCGGACGAGTGATCCGAGACAAATGGTCATGAGTGGCTTGTTCAGAGCCATTAAATAGCGGGTGATACTGAGGTTTGCAAATAGTACCTTATGAGCACGTGTTGAATAATTTAGTCACTCATGAGAAAACCTCTTCAACTACCCTTTTCCAATTTCAATGATTTTTTTTGCTTATGGATACTACATAGTGTTCTAATACAAACCATGAAACGATTTCAATTCCTACTGAGGTTTGACTAAGTTATCGAATTTTTAATCTGTCTATTTTCTAGAAGCTCTAGATTTTCGAAAAACTCGTATTTTGGAATTTCGATCTGAAACTTTGTGCATATAGAGAACTCAACTAGACTTGCTTCCATAAAAAAATTCAGAAGTTTTGAACAAAGTTTCTTCAAGATATGAATTTTTCAAAAGTGCATGTTCTATAGATTATTGATGGGAAAGAGTCTATACATTGAAAGTCTCATATTTCGAAGAGATTTTGTTCAAAACGTCTGAATTTTTTTTGTGGAAGCTAATCTAGTCGAATTTGCTGTATGTATGAAAGTTCAAATCAAAATTCGAAAATACGAGTTTTTCGAAAATCTAGGATCTCGAGAAAATAGATATAATATTAAAAATTTGATAGTTTAGTCAAGTCTCAATAGAAATTCAAATCGTTTTAAGGTGTTTATTAGAACACTATGCAATATCTATAGGCAAGAAATCATTGAAGTCGGAAGAGGAGAGTAGCAGAAAAGGTTTGCTTGTCAGTCATGGTGATTTTAATTGAACTGAGGATTGTCACAAAATACGTTTAGCTTCAAGAAAAGACTCAGACAATCTTCTTTAAATATTTATTTTTAATCGAATGACATAATAAATATTGTCCAACAAAATATGAACCCTTTAATTAACATAGTTAAAAATATTTAAACACAATTTATGTATTTAGAGTTCATATGCTAACACAACACAGCAACATCCACCAATTCCAGTTGATAAGCAATTTCAGCGATCTGAAACACATCTTCTTCAATCTGAACATCAGACCTCAAATCGTCTTCCTAAGGAACAACAACACCATAAATCTCAGCCACCACTTCAATCAAACTTAACTCGATCTGAGCAACAAATGTCAAAAGCTCGTGCATCACCTCCTATTCCTCATCATTCATTATCTTATGGTGATAAGAATCATGTACCTGAAACATCATTGAAATCAAGTAGTCTTTTACAAGAATTAAAACCTACAAAATCAAGTAAGATGCGAGCTGCGGCTATACAAAAAAGAGGAAGAGTTCTTGAACAAAAGCGTCAAGATCGATATTTTCCATCAAGTGAAAATACAGCTATATTAGCAAAATTACAACCTCAACATGAAAGTCCTAAACCAGATGTTGAACAAAAGAAAAAAGAAAAACCGACTAGTAATAAAAAAAAATCTCATTCATTACCAAGCCAACATCAAAGTCATCGTGATGAAAATCAAACAGAAGATAATAAAAGTTCAGGTGATGATGATGATAATAATAATAATAATAATAATAATAATAGTAATAATACTAACACACATCATCGAAGTAAATCTCAAAAACGAACAACATTTCCCAATAAGCGTCTTGAAAAACATTCACATCTTCCTCCAATTCATCATGGTCGAATGCCACCTTTATATGATCCTTACTTTGATTATCCATTCCCTCCAGAATATCATGCTAGAGGACGACATCCATATTCAGATGCATTTCCACCCTATGGATCCCATTATGGTCCATATGGTCATCCTCATTTGTATGGAAATGCTGATGATATTCCACCTTATCTTTCACCATATCATGATGCTTATGATCCATTTTTTGATTATGAAAAACGAAAAATTAAACCAAAACGACATACAAATAAAACTGATGGTCATAGTGATCATGAAGAAAATAATGGTGGTAATACTGGACATGAAATTGAACGAGATGATGGTGCTAAAAGTCAAATATCACGAAAGAGTCGAAATAAAAATACAAATAATGATCATGCTGGTCGAAAGAGTCGTCGTGATTATGAAGAAAATATGCATCCACATTGGCCACCAGGTTATTATCCATCACATTACCATCATGGTCGTGATATGCTTGAACTTTGGCGTCAAGAACGAAATGATTATTTAAAAAGATCATTTAAACCAACTATTCATGATGTTCTTTATTCTCAACAATGGATGAAAGCAGGTTATTTAATTGAAATTAAATTATTTTTATTATCTATTAGTTTAATTTTTGTTTCTTATAGATAGTTATTTAGAAAACCAACGAAGACGTGCATTACGTGATGCACAAGGTTATTATTTTCCATATAAAAAATATACATTAAAAGATTATAAAGATTTACAAAAATTAAATAATCCAAATCTGTTCGGTGATACTAATGAAGCAGTTATTGATCGAGTAGAGTTTTGTTTTATTTTTCTTTTTGATTTTTTATTTTCAAATCACTTTTTTAAAATTATGTATTTAGAAAGAACGTGCGAGAAAACGTCAAGAATATGGATCATTAGTTGAAAGACAAGTAGTCGATAATCCAGGAACACGACATATACCAGCACGTGAAATGCAATCTCGACAACCATGGCATTTAAGTAATAGCGAGTATGATGCTGAAAAAATATCAAAAAGAGACCGAGTATATAGATCATGAATGATCAAAAATAATAATGCATATATTTTGTTTTTCTTTTTGCTTTTAAAGGCTCTTGAATATGCTAAAGACCAAGTAAGACACCAACCGATAGATTCAATAGGAGATCAATCTAATAGATCAGATTCCAATGAACAATTTGTAAACAATCATATGTCAAAAATGCATAATGATCATGATAGATCAAGTATATTTATTTTATTGAAATTTTTTTCTGTAAGATTGATTTATTTAGATTACGAACGAACTAGAAAAACTAATCAATCGTATGATGATTACGACTAGTGAACGTGAACATTCATTTTCATTCATTCTTTTCTTTTATTATATTTTTTTGTTGTCAAAAGGCGGCAAGATTGCGCAGAATAAAAACGAAGGTCTCAAACATAGAATCAATGAACTATTGTTGATTAAATCATCTTTACAATTCATTTTTATCCCGGACATCATATCATAGCCAATATCTCAATTGGAGCATTTCCGATTTTTCTTTCTCGTATCGATACATTAATAACTATACAACGGAAAAAGCTCCACTTGAACCAAATTGAGTGAGAAGCAGAAAAAAAGTAAACTCGGTCTTTTTTTGCAAGATAGTATTGATTGCAAGTAATAGCTTTCTACGATGGCATGGAATACATTAATTTTTAGCATTTTTTTAATGCTCGCTTTTGCCGAGGTAGTATTGGTAGATAAACGTAATAAAAATACACGCGGGTGTTTTGCAGAATTGAAATGTGGAGGTAAGATCAAATAGAATCATTTACTTTAATGTAATCAATTTTTTTCTCTATTGGAATAGAAAGATCGGAAAATTTATCGATTTCTGTTCAAGGTCTACCAGGTTTACGAGGACCATCAGGAACAACAGGTAAATCTTGAATTTAGACTGTTATTTTTTTATGAAGATCTTTTCTTATTTTTTTGAGGTCCACCTGGACTAATGGGTCCACAAGGTTTAACAGGTCCTCCTGGTAAAAAAAATAAGTTCATATAATTTTTTTTTTCATATAATCTATTGCTTCGTAGGTCGTGATGGTTTTATTGAACGTCCACCTGCATTTTATGCTGAATTACGACGTTTATTTGTTACAAAAAATAGTGATAGCATACTTCAACCATGGACATTAAGTGAAACAGCAAATGTACCCGATGCATTTTTATATTTCTCACAAAACACTGGAATATTTACTGTTCCTATAAGTGGTCTTTATCATTTTTTTCTTACAATATCTGTTTCAAAAGCTAAGGTCAGAAAAAATATTTGTTTTATAAATAAAAATACTAATCATTATATTAAAGGCATCGGTTTATATTACTCGAAATGGAGAACGTGTACGAACAGTTTGGATAGAATCAGTAGCAACAATACAAAATGAAACAGTAGCATGGGGTTGGGCAAGTGGTTCAATTGATTGTCTTTTATATGGTCAAACAGGTGATCAAATAGCAGTTGTTGCTTCTTATCGTTCACATGAAAATTTCAATTCTCAAGTGTATGGTTATTCATATTCAACATTTTCTGGATATATGTTACATAATATTTAGCAGATTTTATTGTGTATAAATAAGATTATACAGAAAAAAAAAATTTTTTTTCGTTTTATTTTTAATCTTTTAAAAATGGAATTATATTATCAATAAACCATTGATCAGTAAATTCTAAATGATTCGTATCTGATTCAAGAAATTTAATACGTGATTGTTGATCCATTATTTTTAAACCTAATAAATCATTGATATATAATGAACTTTCACGTAAGGGAATAATTTTTGATGTATTATTTTCAGCATAAAAACCAAAATGTTCACTTTCATTTGGATATACCATTGTATCACGTAAAAATTTTACAAGAACTAAATTACCAATTTTTAAAGGATTTGTTTTATATTGTTCATTGAATATACGTTCTTGATTGATATCGGCTAAAAATACACTTACTTTACGATACGTTGCTTCTTGATGAGCTAAAAGAAAACAAGCAAATATTTAGAATAGTGTCCTGTAACCGATTCGAATACTCGGCATTTGAAGCATGGATCTAGAACCAATCTCGTGGACCAGTTCGGGTATCAGACATGAAAAAACAATGTTAGTTCGGGTTCTGAGTATGATCTCATACTAAAATCTGATCCGGCACTTCAAAATATTTTGACTTTTTTAAATTGACAATTTATATAAAAGCATAGGAGTGAAAACCTGAGTAATTTATTGTACTTTAAAGCAGATCATAGAAATGGAAAGCCAAATGTTGCTTTACTAAAAGATGTTTGTACATTGAATGTTACAAAATAAATCTTAGGTTAAAAGTGATTTTTAATTAAAAATTTGAATAAACAAACAATTGTGTACTACATATTCTACTGAACTTATTTTATAACAAACTAATTGAGTCAACAGCATAATCAAAAAGTTTAGTTGACGAGTCTCAAATTTTAAAATCCTGAAGTTTTCAATATCTATTCATAATAATTATACATACGATCCTGCCAATATTCTGCTTGAACAAGATGATCTTGTACAAATGATTCATAGACGCCAATACGTAATAATTCTCGAACATAATTACATATTGTTATATTATCTCCTGGACATCGTGGAAATCCAAAAACACCTTGATGTTGACCGCCAATAGAAATTAAATTAAGCATTGGTGGATTAGGACAACGTTGAGCAATAGCACGAAGAAATTGTCCACCTTGAGAAAATCTTTTATAAGACAAAGAAAAGTATATTTTTGTTTTTACTAGAAACGTTTATTCGTTTTACCCAATAGCATGATAACCTTTTGAAAGATTTTTGTCAGCATTTAATAATTGACAAGCATAATCAATTTGATGATTAACATTCATAAAAAATCCATTTAATTGATCTTCTTCAATATTCGATCCAATTCGTAATGAATGAATATAAGGAGTTGGTGTTAATTGACGTTCAATTAATTTAATTATTGATCCAAGACTGTATGGATCACAACAACTATCCCCCATACCATGCCATAAAACAATTGGTGATGAACCAATTGTGGCAAAAATATGTGTGAAACAAATAATGATACCGACAACGAGTAACATTGAAATGAAAGTTTTATCTGAATGTGTATTTACTTTTTTTCTGAGATAACTGATATGTAATAGAAACAACTGATATTAACAAAGGACCTCAAAAAACTAAAACACACCAAATAAAAAAAATATTTTTTTTAAGAGAAACGAGCCGATCTTTTAGAAAGCTGTAGATAAAGGTAGAACGAACTTCAATGCACCAAAAATTACCCAAAGTAGGAGCGAAAATTATTTCAAATACAATGAATAAAAGACCAAACATATATCTATAAACTCGTATATATTAATGATTAGTTTGCTTCAAGTCATTTGTTAATAATGAACTCGACCGTTCTCGAATAACTATTTTGAAACTTTTGATTCTTATATCACTTTGTAGAGAACAATTTTATCTTTAATTCTATGCAAAAAAGAACGTTAACTTTCTCCGTTTAAACTTAATTTTCGCGTCTTAAAATGTAAACTCATAATTTCTAAACCAGAAGTCCTGCAATAATTTTAAATCTATATTCGGAAAGAACATGAAATTCGCATTCTAATTCAATATTCTAAAATTTCTGTAGGCACCTTTAAGAAGCTGAAAAATGAATAAACATTTTGTCACATTAGTTTTTCATTATCCGTTACAATAAATGAAATCAAAACATTTATTTGGTTCAATGACATTCCTAAAATAGTAACCGATTTGACTCGTTGAAATTGATCAGCAGACATTTTTACTGGTGGTAGCTTATGCTAATAAATGTTAGTCTTCAAGAGGTTGGAATACTCACCGAACGTATCTTAGTCTTTCAATCGAATAAGTAATTCGAATTATCTCTCATACTGTTTTTTTTTTTAAGCATTAAAATTGGTCGACGTTATTCAACTCGTGATAATAAACTTTTTACAATGTTGTACTAAATGACTGCAGTGCTTGTGGAGTTCCATGGTCTAGAAATCCATTTTTTGTAAAACAACTATACTTTTAATAACCCCATTCTAGGTTGTGCTGGATCAGCAAAAAATTACCTGATTCTGAGCTCTGTAATCCAAATAGATAATGTCGACTTTCGAACGGTATATACATCATTAGATCAGATTCTGATATAGAAAGACCTTTTAAAAAAATATGAAATCTGTAATTTTTTCAATTCGATTTTCTTCTATAGTACACAATATAATTTGATAATGTATGTCGTTGGATAGAGGAAGTCCTCCTCTACAAACTTGCATATGCCTCGTTGTCTAATCAAAATCTTATAAATGTCTTTGTCTTTGTTCATTCTATATAAATAATTTCGTGTGAAAAACAACAAGCACTTTTTTTTATTTATGGAACTATACAATGAAACAAAAAAATTTAATCTCGACGACGTTTTTCTTTGTCACGATCACGATCACGATCACGATCACGGTCACGATCACGATCTCGATCTTTTCTATCACGATGTTCATGTCGACTTGAATGTTTTTTTCTACTATCACGTGCAGGCGAACGTGATTTGGATTTTGATCGACTTCTTGACCGCCTATAGAAAAAAAAACATCATAAAAATTCCAATAAAACAATTTTCATCTTACCGTCTCTTTTTGGAACTTTTTTCTCGTGGTGATAATGATCGAGCATAACGTGGTGATGGTGATCGTTCTGGTTTATCTAAATCTTTCCATTTTTTCTTTGATTTTTCTGGTATTGGTTCTTTCTTTTTCATTTTCTTTTCATCTTCATCATCACTTTCATCACTTGTTTCATTATCATCAATATCTTCATCAAGTACAGATTGACGAGGTTCTAATTGATTATTTTCTTCTAATACATTTCGTTTTTGTAAACGAGGTAATTGTACATCTAATACACGTTCTTCACGTAATAATAAATCAATAAATTCATCCACATGTAAAAGTTCATATTCTATCAAAATAATCGAAATATTATCAGAAAGATATTTTACAAAAAAAAAAACGAATTCCTACTGTCATCTCGATTCAAAAGTTTCATCTTTCGATAATCATTATAGAGTGGTTCGAGATATTTGTAAATTTCAACTGATGTACCAACTAATCGCATATAGAATGCACCAAGTGCACGAACATATCTAAACAAAAAAAAAGGATAGATTCTTGTATATGAAGAACATAAAAAAAGAGATACTGTTGTATACAAAATTGAATAAAAGCTCATCAAAGTTCTAAGAAAGATATCTTTTTTCAGTAATAAATAACGTTGGAATATCAAATTTTTTTCACATATTTAAAAAGATGGAGATCAGTATGATAATTCGTGTATAAAAAAGAAAACAAATGACGCCATAAGATTATTAATTTCTGCTGTTCTTTCAAAAATAATACTTTTTTGTGGCATGAGTTAGAAAATCCCATCGAATTCTATAAGAAACAATATTCTCTTGTTCGCACTTTCTACTGTTGAAAGTGTCAGATTGTTAAGAAATGTCATCCCTATTTGACTCTATTTTTAAATCTGATAGCGATATTAATAGAAAATTTAGAAGTTAGATATGATCAAGTGTATGTCTCAATTCTAAGCTTAATAAAACTTGAACTATGTCACTACAATAGCGTAGAGCTGAGCAAGTTTGAGTCATGATTTGGACTTGATTTACGAGGAAATCTTTCCACCGCGAAAATCGCATTTGAGTTCAAGCTCTGTACATAAGGTAGAATCAAATGATGTATTAAAAATCTTAAAAGGATAAGGGTCTCTAGGTCTTGTCTTCAGGGTTATAGCAGTATTACTGAAATTTTAGCCCGTAGCACAATATGTACAAAGGAATCGGATGACAATAGTTTGATCTGAAATTTTCAATATTAACAAGTGTTCCTTTCACGAGATATTGAATTTTCAAAAACAATTGAGATTCTCAAATCTTTTATGAAATATGAGCGATTTTTAGTAGTTCAATATTTCGTGAAGAGAACATCACTTTGAGCTGAAATTTTCAGGAAATTCTACTTACAAGTCAACCTATCTATTAACAAAATTTCAGTGAAATAACTATAACTCTGTATAGAAAGCCTAGGAAGCCTTATCCTATTAAGGTTTTTAATATTTCATAAGACTCTAGCTTATGCAATGAATCCGAATCCAAAAGCGATTTTCAAATTGAGAAAGTTCCTTGGTACTTGAAAATCTGACGACGCTGACTTGAATCATTCACTGAAAAAAAGCAAATTCAAATCAATCTCTTAATAAGCTTGCTAGAAAAATCATGTGTGTTTCTGCAACATCACCACTATTTTCTCAAAGCTATCTTTTAATCATATTTCATCGTTCAAGTTTTTCACAAGCTAATATTTGTAAGAAAACATTAATCTAAATGTCAATAGATAACTACATTTTTCAGCTTAAGTTGTTTGTTTATAAAAAATAATGCATTGTTTATTTTATTTTATTTTTTTTTTTGTGCAGAAAAACTAAGAACTAGATATTGTGTCAGGAAAAACTTGTTGTTAAGATTCTTTACAAAACAAATAAAAAATGCAATAATAACTAAACTTACTCAGCCTTAGTTCTGAATATCTATCCATTAAACACATCGATCGTTTACCAAAAAACAGAGAGGATAATAACACTATTTCAAACTTTAATAGCAAGCTGTTCATATGATAATTACTCAATATTTTGATAATTTCATAGTCGACATCCCTAAGCGAGTTATTTTTTCAATCTCAAGTATTTTATATGTGCTAAATTTGAATTAATTTTAAAAAGTTAACGTTCATTGAACACATACTCTTCGTTTCAGTCTTAAAATAAGAAACTGATTTTTCATATAATGCATATCTTTCGTAAATACTTACTTAAATTCTTCATTTTTAATAAATTCTACAATAATATCTTTTTCTGGACAAATTTGTAACATTTTAAGAACTAAACATAAAAAAGGTGTTGGACGAATATTTCCACCACTAACACCACCAATATATTTTAATTCAACGGCTTTATCAACAACTAATTCAGCTAAAAGAAAAACCACAAAAACATTTTTTTTTTTAGAACAAATAAATAAAGAAATTTATTTTTACCAGTAAGTGCAAAACAATCTTCTTTCCAATAACGACAATCATATATTCGAGATCGAATAATTTTTTCAATTAAATATTGTGGATTAGTACCTTTAATTGTTGGTGCTTCTTTTACCGTTCGATTAGCCATTTTAAACGAACTAAATCGATAAAGAAAAATAGCGACGACTTAGTTTCGAAATTAATTAAGAAAGAAAGAAAGAAATTTACGTTGTTTTTTATTAGTCAATAAATTTACACCAATCAAATATTATTCTTCAGATGGAAGTAGTATCATTATTGATAAATAAGATTAAATGTCTGTTAATCATCATCTGAATTTATTAGATTTGTTAGAAAATATATCATTTGAATATTAAATTGATAAATCTAATAAGAATGACATTTTGTTTTTTTTTTTTATTTTATTTTAATTATGATTATTTAGCAGAAAATTGTAGTATGTATTAATAATTTTAAAGACATTTAATATATATAGAGAGAGATGAATTGAAAATTCATTCACGTAGTTCTTTTTGAAATACTGTATTGTAAATCTTTTCTCAGTTTAATTTTTAGATCAGAGATATTTTTTTTGTGTCGAACGATGTATCTTGAAAATCTCTATGAGATCTCTAAGATTGATTGGATTTGAATATTTATTATCGATTAATTTTTGTATTGAGATTATTCTTCTACTAAATAGAAAAAAATTTTAATATCAATTTATTATAGATTTATCATGTATAAATGAATATGATTTTAATGAATGATAGAAAAAATAAATCTGTTATAATTTTTAAATCGATCATAATTTTATTAGAGTTTAGAATTTGAATTCTTTTCATACATTTGAAATAGAAATAAAAAGATATAAAATTATTTTTTCTCAAGCGTTTATTTTATTCGGTTAATAAAACTGTAGTAGATTTTGTTTATATGAAAGAATAGCACTTTCAAATCTTAAATCAAGTTGATGAAAATCGACCTTGTATGATTCTTATTTTTGATAGAACAGATGAAGAAAAACTTCGATTTAGATTTTTTTACGGTTCTCTCTCTTAAATTTGTGAAAAACAAAAAACATATAATTTCTTCTTCACAGTAATAGAGAGTATTGAATAAAGGTCTTTTTTTTCTATTATATTTGCAATGTACTGTGATTGTTGACGACGATTTGATTGTTATATTCATGTAAGTAATTAGGATTATACTTTGTTTTAGAAAGACAATAATTTTTTGGTGTGTATTAATTTTTATGAATTATTGAAATCTTAAAAATTCGATAGGAGAATTAAAAGAAACTATACATTTCATTGATATTCATTTATCAGGTATTCACTATATTTTATTGCTTGGTATAATGATCTTAAAGTTGGTGTTCCAACTTCTGATGTTATATAATGTCAGAAGAGGGAACACTTTTTGATAATGAGAAACATCAATTTTAATATATCCCCATAGTCATTGTCGAACATCTGTTAAGCGAATATCCATTTCATTTAATACGTAAAATTCTTATTGTACACATGTCTAATCGCTTATCGGTGTTTTGTTACTCGATAAACAAATATTTCATTGATAAATAGTTACATAGTCAGTAATTCGAAATTTTCATTGATAAAAACAACTGACAATGATTATATTTTTACAATAGAGAACAAAAACAAAGAAAATTTTCAAATTTTATCAAATAGAAATCGAAATTTCAAGCGAAGGATTAATATAATCGGATAAGTTATATGTCTATTGTGAATTCTTTTTTCATCATAGAGGAAAAAAAATATCATTAATACACTTTAATTTACGTATATTTGATCTTTGTTATAATGCATATGCATTAAGCTCTCTTGATGTCGTCTATTCAATACATTTTAAAGACAAAAGCCAGACATTATAACCAATGGTCATTGTGAGACACGTGTGAAAAAAAAAAGGTTCATTCTAATTGATTTTCTGTCGCTTTTAACAATAACATTGAATGTGCATTCAAGTTTAGATTTGTGTGTCTACTATTGTTGTTACCATTTTTTTCTTTTTTTTTTTTTTACCTCGTTCTTTTCTCCTGGTGCCACACTCGTGATAATATCAGGGCTATTGAGATGGAATCATTTTTTTTTCTCGCAAAAGCACACAAAAGACGATGAGGCACATTGTGTCGTGGATGTCAATGTTCGTTTCCCTTTTATTCGTTCTTTCTTCCGTTTTTTTTCTTTTTTTTTGATTCTAGATTAATATATAGGTAAAAAGTGGCACACTTTTTCTTTTACTGTTGAACAGCAGACGACAAAGAATAGAACGAGTGAAGCATAAAAGAAAAGAAATGCTATCTTTGATTTATTAATGGAAATAAACTTTAGGGATTGAAACGATGGATAATCAAGGTAAATGAAATAAACAAAAATTTTTAGTTTGAAATGATTTGTTTTTGTTTTTAATAAAGATAATTCAATAAATAATGATCATCATAGTAAATATATTTAGAAATTTTCAATTTCTTTTTTTTTGTTTTGTTTTTTTTTGATCATTTTTTTTTATTAGATGATGAGAATGAAGAGGTGATACCATCAATAACAGCAATCGGTGAAGGAGGTAAATTTATATTCACCTTGAATATGCCTACTGAATTTCTTTTATTCTATATAAAAAGATACGTATCCGATCTCAGATAGTGAATCAACAACTGATGTAATGCCTTTAATCGATACGAATGTTATCCAAGATGAAGAGCAAGGTGAATTAAATCGTAAGTAAAACATATATATAAGATGATTATTTAAAGAGAAATAGATTTTTCAATGAAATATTCTTTTTGTTTTGTTTTGTTTTGATATATGGTATGTTGTTTCTCTATATTCTTACATAATTATCGACGTCAAAAAGATTGATTTTCTTTTTTTCTTGTTTTTCTTACGTGAAAGTGTTTTGTCATAGTCTTATTCGTGATTAACTAACTATTGTCTACTTCTTCTGATGTTCATCTATTTGTCAATATACCGATCTTGTCTCGTCGTCGTCGTCGATTGTCGGCAAATGTTGTCATTGTCTATTCTTAACTTACATAGATACAACTATTATTCAACAATAGTTGTAGATATGCTCCATCTGTTAGTTTTTCTTTGTCTATTCCATTTAATTAATGCTACTGTTGAAACTTTACATTTTGAAAGTGCTTGCCTGACAGAATCCAATATAGTTCAATTACGTCTTCGTTGTTCATTATATGAACATATTGAAATAATTCGTGTTATATATGGTTATTCAAAACAACGATCAATAAATCAATGTCAATTTAGTATATATGATTGTATACAAGAAGGTTCAAGTCGAAATATTCTTTCATGTAATGGTAAACAAACATGTTTTATTAATTTAACTAAAAATGAAATATTTTCAACAACAATAACAACACATGGTGTACCAGCTTGTTCAGATTTTAATTATGTTCAAGTTAATTTTGGTTGTGTACTTGATGCAAAAGATATTTGTGATAGTTGGAAAGATGAAGGAACAATTATTCATTTAAGTCATACACGTTCTAAAGATAAACAATATAATGAATGTCAATGTAAAGTACGTTCATCATTATCAAATGGACAAGTTTTACTTCATGCAAGAGAAATAAATCGACAATTTGCTAATTTAGAAGATTTAAGATCTAAAAAAGATTCAAATACTGATTGTAAAAGTACAACTTATTTAGAAATTAATACTGATCGATCTGAACGTAAATGTATGGATAATTTACCATCAAATGGTAATGCATTATTTGGTTCAGGTTCACATAATTTTACATTAAATTATGTACGAAATGATCCACTTTCTGAATTATTTTTCTATTTTGAATTAAAAGCAAGTCCTGTAAAAAATGATCATTATGTACAAATTATTTGTAATTGGGCTAGACGTACAACAACGATACGTACAACAGTACCAATGACAACACGTAAACGTAAAATAACTACAATTAATATGTCAGATGGATTAAAATTAAGTCGTCTTGATCTTATTCGACATCCATTAATATCAGAAAATGAAATAAATAATCATAATATAGATGAAGATATAGATATTTCATTGATTGATAATAATGATGAAACAGAAACTACAATAATGAATAATGAATATGAAGTTGAAGAAGATGAAGAAAAACATTTAACAACAAATAGTATAATAAAACAATTGAAATCAAAAATTAAAAAGAAAATAAAAACATCTACAACAATCTTACTTGACTCTACAACAACAGGTACACCTTCAATATCTAATCATAAGAATGATGATGATGATGAATGGTCACATATATTATCAATGGCTGGTATTGATTCTTTGTCATCATCATCAGAACAATTTTTTTTGTTTAATAATGATACATTTATAAATTCAGCTCAAGCTTCAATTCTATCTAATGAAGAAAATTCTCGATATAAAATGTCAAAAAATAAATTTCTTATTATCTGTCTTCTTATGATTTTTACTATAATTTTTATTCTTTCACTTTATTGTCTTAAAGTTAAACAATCGGGTTTTATTCGACGTTTAAAAATAAATATCAATGTTGCATTATTATTTTGTTGTGAAGCTAGTAAACTATTATTTTCATCATCAAATCATACAAATTCATTATCAAGTACATCAACAAATACAATGACACGCCATCAACAATCATTATCATTACAAATTGGTGATTATCGTTCAAGTGAATATTATACGAATAATCCAGGAAATAATTTTCATACAACGGAAAGTATTTATGACTATGATGGTGGTGGAAAATCGATTTATAGTATCGATGATTATGATGATGATCAACCACAACAATCGGCTTATATAACTCAATATGATCGTTATAGTGCAGGCGATACTTGTTGAAAATATAAAATTGTTTTTGTTGCCTTCTTTTTGTTCTTTGTTTATTCTTACTTTTTTTTTGTCTTCCTTTCTTTCTTCATTCAAAATGAGTCAATTGTGTCTTGAGAGTTCTTTTTGTGTATATATAATTGCGTGATTATTATTATGATTGGTAATAAAATGGCACAATAAACAGATCTTTTTTTCTCTTTTTTGATAGGTTCTATGTCTCAAGATTCATTAATTAATGATGAACAAGATCATAATGAAAAACTTCAACAAACCTCTTCAATAATAATAATGAATTCGAGAATGAATAGTAAATTAAAATCATCAACAAATGGCAAGTCATAGAAAATTTTGATTGGTTAAATTAACTATTTATTAATAAATTAATTTTAGGTGCACGATCTGTTAATCTTGATGAACATATTAAATTAGTAAAACAAAAAAAAGAAGAAGCCGAAGTATTACGTTTACAACGATTTCAAGAACAGATGCGAAAAAAAGAACAAAAATGGTCAGTATTATTAACAATAACTAATGATAGTCTTCTGACAGACGAGTTGTCAATTAATAGAATGAATACTTTTTTAATGACTCAATGAAAAGAAAAGGAAAAAAAAGAGTAAGAATGACAAAGCAAAAAAAAAAATTACCGATCGTTTATTTTGTGTGGGTTGTAGAGTGATACGCACTTGACGCAGTTGTTTTTTTCCTTCTTTCATATTATTGTCGTGATTAGTAGTTTTGCTCATCATATGATTGATTTCTTCTGTGTACAAATCTGTTCTATGGTAGCTATGGGCTTACTCATCGATAATATGTTTTGTTTATTATGACTATTAATACAAGCTTGACATTTCTTTTTTTCTTAGACTTAGAGAACAACACGAAAGCTATACTCCCTTGCATCTCACAGGCATGTACAATTAGGCGTTCGAGAAAAGAAAAAGAATGATAGAACGAGAGAGTGACGATTATCAAAAAGATGTATAGTATGTATAAAATAGACTGTTTTCTTTTCTTGTTTTGGGTAGGTAGAGTCATCTGGCAAAAAAAAGAAACGAAAAATAGTAGAGTCTCATTCTTTTTTTTTTCAATGATTGTTGCCGACTAAATAGAAAAAATGCGCGAGTCAGAAAAATATTGTATATCGTTAATATGCAAATGGAAGGAGAAAAAGAAAAAAAAAATCTAAATGCACTCGGTTCTTTAATGAACTCAATACTGAATATTATTTGTCGTTTCTCTTTGTTTTTATCAAGGGCATTATTTCTATATTTATAGGCAACAACAGCATTTAGAAAAAGTGAAAAAGTGGTTAGAATTACGTAATCGTGATATTGATCATCGATCACAAGTTGAAGAAAGACGAAAAAAACGTGAAGAACAAACTAAAGTACATCATTTCATATTTTCTTTTTTTTGTTTTTTGCTTTAATAAGTAAAAAATTTTTTTATGTAAAGGTTAAAATTGAAGAAATACTACGTCGAGAAAAAGAACGGCAACAAAGAAGTAATTCACAAATAAAAGTCAATCAAAGGTAAAAGAAAAAAAAACAACGTGATAGTAATATGACAATAAATATTAAGTGTATTTATTTGTTTAGAGGAAATGTTTCGCATAGGCCTGATTCTATTATGAGTATGTCTGCAGATATAGTTTCAACTCGACGAGCTATATCAGCACCACGTATACGTACAAATCAACACGGTAATTTTTTTTAATTCTGAATAAAAAAAACAAACCTAGAAACTCTTATTATATTAGATATGACAAATCGACGAAGATCAAACGATTCTCCAATCCCTACAATATCGCAAGATAATAGTGATAATTCAACTAGTAAGTTTATCTAATTCTTTTTTTTTCCTCCTCAAACTTTTCATCAAAGAATGTATTATTCATGAGAATATGTATATATTATATATATATATATAGAATATGTCTTGTTTTTTTTTCTCCCTCTACACTTGTAGCTGTCATCAGTTCTCATCAACTTAATCCGATTGATGAACATCGATATCATCATCGATCGCGTCATTCATATGATGCAACAATGACAAATGAAGATAATTCATTGTCAGGTACATCTCGTACAGTAGCACATAGTCGAACACGACCGATGCCAACGTCATATACATATTGGTTAAATACCGGTGACAATAATAATAATAATATAAATGCAAATTTTATGCGTTCAACATATGCGGCTACGTGTCGATCGCGTCTTAGTCGTAGTGTTGAACGGTGTCCTCGAGCTTGTAGAGGTATTTTCTTGTGTTTTCAAGCTTATACACATATTATATATGTACGCATGGGGTTCTTTCTGTCGTTCGCGTGTGTTGTGTATCTGCTAATTGCTTCGCTTTGATTCGAAGAATAAGTTTATCTTAGGAAAAAGAAAATGTTTGGTTTTTGTTTTTTTTCTTGTTTTATAGTTCGAGATGATTTAACAAATAATACAACAACGATAAACGGTGAATCACAACATCGAATACAAAGTATTAATCGACAACATTTAAATGAAACTATTCTTAGACTTTCGAAACCAAAAACTACTCCAATAACTCAATCAATTCATAGTGGTACAACAACAGCATCAACATCACCAACAATAAATAGTATGTCCGTATCACAAACCGGTCATCAATTTCGCGTATCTACTCCACCTACGACTACAAGTAATCTTTCAACTCCAACATCAATTTCTTCTAAAATTCGAAGAGTAAGTTCAATATTAAAACATTACAAGATAGCTCAAAAGTCATTTTATCAAAGACAAAAATTGAATATCGCCACTATATTTCGACTAAATGGGTTAATTTTTTCAACACTGATAAAGATGTATTTACAATTTATATTCAACAAAAACTGTTTTAAAGTATCATCATTGATTTCAATGGAAAACAATTATCTTTCGTGGGTTATGAAAAAATTATATATATTCTCATAGTTAAAATAAACATTACATTCATTAAATATTTGATCTCATATGTATATCAGAAGTACATAGTTTGTTTCTCAGTGTGTCCTGAGATTTTAGCCATACTATTAAGAAAACTAAAAATGTATTACATGTACTCTTATGTAGATAAAACCTAAATCCGTTATAATACTTATCTTACTATTATTTTTTACTATATTTACCTTTCTTCGATGATGTTTAGTTGGCTATTGAGAAGATAGTTTGCAGGTGAGAATATCTTTGACTTTTTCAAACTTAAAGTAAACCAGAAACGATAATGAGATAATCATCACAAGAAATCTTCTTCTGTACCATATAAAAGCATACGAAACTAGAGATGTGTGAGATTGAAACTGCGAAAAAAAACATTTGCCGGAACCAAAACTCAAGTTTATAGTAAAATATTCTATGGTTTATAACCATATTATCTTATAAATCATATAGATTCGAACATAACTATTTTATACGACTGGAATAGATTGATTTTATTTTCAGAACTCCTAAATTGTATTGAGATCAATGGGAACATTTCAAAACAGTTTTTATCAAGGTTTTTCTGTTGAATATGAGCTATGAACATACTTTTATTAATGATGAAAAAAAAAAGCAGCCTATTTGATCAAAATACGGCAGTGATTAGTGTATTGCATGATTAACGTTTTTTTGGTCACGATCACGAGAGAAAAAACTTTTCCGATCACGTTCACGGAGAAAAGTGGTGTCTAATCAGCTTTAGAGAAAAGTTTATTCACTCTTTGACTGTGTTATCTATGTTGTTTACTCTACTGGACACAATCAATACGAACAGAATGAGACAGTTGAAGTTGCTTGCTTTCAGTTTCCTGCAGTATTTCTAATGGCAAGTGTAGATAGTAGCAACAAAATGTGCAGAACATCTGCGTCTCCTGGACTACACACTGCTGTATACTTTGCAGAAAAAATTAAAACTTTCCTTAATAATATATTGAAAATTATTTTGAATTTCAAAAAAATAGTGTTTTAACTATGTACAGAAGGCGACCTATTAGATAACATCTGCATCTATATTTATTAAAATTATATAAATACTTTTGGCTACGCTGTATTTTATCAATGAATATATATTTAATCTATAAAACAATGAATTTATATTTTTAGAGTACTCATTCTCGTCCAACTACTGCTTCATCTCATCAAAGTTCGTTAAATAATGATTCTCGAGCATCACCAACTGTTGAATCAACATCTGAACATCATCAAATTTCATCATCAATTAGACAATCATCACAGCGTACTGGTACTCATCCAAAAGTTTCATTATCATCTTCATCAAAACCTCCTACGTCTTTATCTTCTTCTCGTTCAAAACAACCTATGCAACGCTCTCTAATGACTACATCACATTCATCATCTTCAATTTCATCGGCGACGACGATGACAACACCACCAACAACAACAAATAAAAAAAATATACGTCGTATTAGTGGTGTACCACCATCAAAACAAAAACCTAAAACAGAACCAATCTCATCTATAGAAACACCTGATAATGAAACATTAAGTAAAGATAATGAAATATTAACCAAAGATAATGAAATATTAACCAAAGATAATAATGAAGAAAATTTACCAGTAAGTGAAGATACTCAAGAAAAAGAACAAGAAAAAGAAAAAGAAGAAGAAGATGATGAAGAAGAGCAACAACAAATATCTACTGAAATTGAATCAACAACTTCTGTTATTGAACCAATTAGTATTGATACAGTTACTGAAATAATTAATCCAACAACAACAACAACAACAACACCATCAAAACGTGAACAACAAATTATTGATGAACAAGAATATCAACGTAAGTTAAATCAAAAAATTCGTGAAGCTCAACAACGTATGGAACTTGAACGTCAACGTGAAGAAGAACGACAACGTCAATTAGAATTAGAAGAATATGAACGTGAACAAGAACAAATTCGTCTTGTTGAAGAACAACGTCTTGCTGAAAAAGAACGTTTACAACGTGCTATTGAAGAACGTGAACGTGAAAATGAATTAAAACGTCTTGAAGAACAACGTTTACAACAACAACGTGAAGAATTAGAAAGAAAACAAGCTGAAGAAACTGAACGTCTTAATCGTGAAAGACAAGAACGAGCAAAAAAAGAAGAAGAAGAAAGAAATGAAAGAAAAAGACGTTTAGATTTAATTATGAGACGTACAAGACAAGATTCACCAAGTTTAAAAGTAAATTATTTTAATTTGAATTTAAAATTTAATAAAATATTCATTCGTTGGTTGTTTTTTTTGTTTAGCCGGAAAATAATATTAGTAAAACTAATATTGATGAAACAAACGGACATGATACACAAGAATCATCAATGTCTCATTCCATTTCTGATAATCGTTTGCCAATTCCAGTATCAAATGACAATTTACTAAATAATAATGATTCAACAACACCTGAAACATCGAAGTAAAAGATTTTTTTGTTCTTTTCTTTATTTTAATTAATATAAAGAAAAATTTTGAAATTTAGATTTAAATCTCCATTAATACAAAGTCTTCTTAATAAAGCTCGAAATACAAAATCAACAGATAATCTTATACAATCGAATATGACAACATCACAAATAATGAATGAAAGTATGGTTGATGAAGAAACAATAACAATTGAATCAACAACTCAAAGTGATTTATCAGACAATGATGAGAATGATGATGATCAACAAGATTCAGAAATAAATAATATTACTAATGGTCATGGTGGTTCACCGTAAGTATAAATAAAAAGAAAAATAATATATAAAAATTATTGTATATTCATATTAAAGTTTATCTTCTTCTACAAATCTTAATTCTTCTCATGATCGTCCAATTGAAACAGCAACTACTTTTCAATAAAAAAAATAAAATAAAAATCCGTAAGTTTAACGTTATTCGTTTTTTTTTCAACTCTTTTTCTTTATTATAGATAAGCAATATAAAAGAAAATTTTAAAAAAACCTACGACTGGCGAAATAGAATCTAGTCTTATTCGATCAATATTACGTTATTTGTTTGTTTGTTTTGTTTATTTCTTATTTAATTCGCTCAATGATTGCACAGCTGGCAAAAAACTGTTCTATAAAAACAATAGCCATATATCTTCTATAAAAAAAAGAAACGAACTGAAAATAAAACGTTCTGTCCTTCGGCACTATTATTATCGTCCCTTTTACTTCGGTTTTAATTATATGGTACTTGTGTGTGTGTATTCATTCGATCTCTGTTGTTTTTCTCTGGGCTTTATACCCGTTACTCTTATTTTTTTTTTCTAAACAAAATTTCAAATACAGAGAGAAATCAGTCAAGCAAGATTAAAAAATAAAACGTGATAAAATAACCGTGTATGTTAAAGAATCCGATGGTCTAGAAATAAATCTACGATAAATGATTGTCAAATAGAAAGTTGCATCAGTATCAATTAAATCTCTCATTAATAAATCAGATTTAACATAAGAAGCTTTTTGTTTTTGAATTATAATTTTTATTCTTTGGTATTCACTGTACAAGATTATTTGTTTTCAGGGATTCGATTGGTATCTGTTCAAGGCCTACGCCAATGAGATGAAGTCGGAGTCAACCTTGACTTCGACTTTTCCTTATCTTTGTGAAGATTTGAAGATAGAGATGTGCAGAGTTACCCTACCTACTCTTAGGCTAAGGGTTAGAAAATTTTTCTCAGTCAAGTAACAGCCAACGAAAAAAGCTTACTCTGTACATTTCTAGTCTGAAGAGACGTAAATCGAGCCTCCAAAATACATCAGTTTGTACAATAGAACTTACAATGCAGAAAAAAATCTGTAGTATTCAATCTAATGTACTGATCGATAATTTAGAGAGCTCCTAAAAATGACTCTGATGCAGGTTTCTAATATTACAACATATATTGACTATATTCTAATAAATATTTTACATTTTGACTTTATTTAAATATTTAATAAGCATGAACTCTTATATTTTCTCAATCATTTTTTGTTTTTGTTTATAAGTCTTCTATAATATTAAATGTGACTCATATTGACATCTGTCTTTGATATTTTCTATTACTCATTATTGAGACCATTGAAAAGAGAACTGTTTACGATTATGATTCAAAAAAATTGAGTCCTTGAGTCATCAATTTCTCAGCTGATCGGTTTCGTAAATCACAACGGACGAGAATTATTTTGTTATTAAAGTATTTATTTTTTGTTCTTATTTGTATGCATGGCTACAGCAACACGTCGTACTTTACCAACACTTAAAGTAAAACAATTACATCCTCCACGTTTACCATCACCAGGAAAATTAGTAACAAATAAAACAAACACCGGAAGAAATCTTGATCCAATTGAAAAACGTCTACTTAATATTCGTCTTCATCTTTTACGTACTACAACACGACGAACACAAACACCTAGTGAACCATCACTTGTTTTTGATTCATTTCTTTATTTAGGTGGTTTAAAATCTCTTAGTAATCGAGTAAGTTTTATTTTATTTTATTATTTTTGTATTATTATTATTATTATTATTTCTCTCATTGATAATTAGGTTCGTCTTACACGTCTCAAAATAACTCACATTCTTTCCATTGTTTTTATTCCACCAGCAAAAAATCTCATTCCATCAAATATCAAACATCTTTTTTTAAAAGCTGATGATAATATTGCATTTAATATAAGACAATATTTTGAACAAGCATGTGAATTTATTGAAGAAGCACGTCAATCAAAAGGTTGTGTACTTGTTCATTGTGTATGTGGTGTATCACGTTCAACAACATTATGTTGTGCTTATTTAATGAAATATCATTCCATGAGTGTTGAACAAGCATTAGTACAATTACGTTCACGTCGTCATATAATTCAACCAAATAATGGTTTTCTTCGACAATTAGTTTTATATGATGAACAATTACAAAAAGAACATTATAATCATGATAAAACAACACTTAATGTAATGATTGAACAGTTTGAGAATATTTGATATTTATATTTTTCTTTTATTTATGTGTGAACAGCACGATTTTTTAGTCAGATTTTTTTAGTTTCACGATTTTTTTTTTAGATTTTTTTTTAAATAATGGCTACAGCATCATCCAATGATTATAATGAAAAAACAAAATCGACTAATAATAATAATAATAATAATATTCGATCAGATTTTCTTGGTAAAACTGGTAATGATGAAGCACCAATTGATAAAACATATTATAATATTCTTAATGTATTACCAAATGCAAATTCAACAGAAATTAAACGAGCTTATTATACACTTTCACTTCAATATCATCCAGATCGTACACAACATCTTGATGATTTTACAAGACGTGAATATGCTGAACGATTTAAATATATATCTCAAGCATATTGTAAGATAATAAGACAAAAAAAAAACAACAATTAATTATTTTCAAGATTATGTTTGTTTTTCTTAGCTATTCTCAGCGATCCAGAAAAACGAACACTTTATAATAGGTAGGAATGATGTCTGTATTAATGTACACGTTGTCTTACGAGGGAAGTTCTACAAGTGATAAATCGAGACTATGTGAAATATGTAGAACCAAATGAGTTATGAATATTCTGAAAACAGTTCAGACTCTTAGCTTTTTGGTACGGGGATACTGCAATTATACTGTATTTTTTAAATGAATGCTGTGGTAACAGAAAAACTGATTTGACTTCCTTCATTAGAAGCCGATTAAAATAAAATGTAAACAACTCTTATTATTTATATGTAGACAGATCTTCTAGGTTTTCTTTTCTTATTAATGGTTGACTTTAGGTTACATCGAGAATAGATTTCAGGATTTTTTTGTGAAATTAATTTGTTAATTGTTTAAAATTTAAAGAAAAAACATGTATTGAATAAATTTAATCTTTTCTTTAGATATGGCAAAGATGAACGTCTTATATCACAAGGTTCCGATGGAATATCATTGGAAAATTTTGATGCTGTAGAATTCTTTCGTTATATGTTTGGTGGTGAAGAATTTCTTGATATCATTGGTGATTTTGAATTAGCTAAATCATTTAAATATGCTATTAGTAAAATATTAAATGAGAATGAACAAACAATGGATCAAGAAAATACACATTTAGCTTATGTTCAAGAACGTGCAAAAGCACATGAAGAACGTATTAAAAATTTATCAACTAATCTAATTTTGAAATTATCTATTTATACTGATATATTTCTATCGAACAATAATGATAATCAATCAAGACAAGCATTAAATATATTTATTGAAAAAATTCGTTCCGATATTCCAAATTTATTACAAGCACCATATGGTGAACATTTATTACATTCTATTGGTTATATTTATTCAACAAAAGTACGTTTTTGGTCAAGTAAAATGGATTCACAAGAAGGCCATATAGGTAAACGTATATTAGGTTATGGTAAATATGTACAAACGTCATGGAAAGATCGTATACATGTTGTTAAAGAAACTGTTAAAACAATTAAATGTGCTGTTCAATGGCAACAATCAATGTCAAAATTAGCTAATATTGCTGATGAAGAATCAAATGATTCTCAAAATCCATTTCAACATCATTCAGGCCATTTAGAATATAGTGGATTTATTCCATCGGAATCAACTGCTTCAGCTTCATCAACAAATTCGAATGTGAATATAACATCACCGGTGAAACATAAACAAAAAGATAAATCATCAACAAAATCAATCGTACCATTAACAGATGAAGAAAAACATAAACTTGAAATTGATACAGCTACAAAATCAATGGAAACACTTTGGCGTGCAGCAAAACTTGAAATTGAATGTATTCAACGTGAAGTTTGTGATCAAGTTCTTAATGATTCATCATGTTCACGTGAAATTCGACGACATCGATGTAAAGCCCTTTCAAAAATAGGTGAATTATGGCAAGAAGCATCATTGTCAAATTCATCATAAATCTTTTGTTTTTTTCGAATATTTATGACAATTTACGATAAAAAAATTCCTTCCATTCTTTTTTTTTATATTTATTTTTTTATAAGAATTTTCCAAGAAAAAAAAAATATTTTTTTTTATTTTTTAAATATTTTAATCTAGATGCCTTTTAAATGCAGCATCCATCATTAAATAATTTTATTGATTATTCATCATTTGATGATTCAATAAATTTGGATGAATTTATTTCCAATAAAAATGGTAATCCAATAACATTAGCAAAATTATTTGCACTTTTAAGAACATGGAATAATACTGTACATAAAAGTTTTACTAAGCTTATTTATTTGGTATGTAAAAAAGAAAACGAATAGAACAAAAGAAATTATTTTGTGCTATTTAGACATTGGAAAATGAGATTGATATTAATGAATTTGATGTTATAACAGGAATGAATTTACTTCATTTTACATGTAAATTTGGAGCAAAACAATTAGGATATGAAAATGAAGCCGTACAAGTTATGAATTTACTTATTGAAAAAGGTATTGAGTCGTCTATAATCCTTTACCGTTCATTGACAAATAGAATTGCCATTTTTAGAAACATTGTAGAACATGTGATATTAAAAAACTTCTTACACATTGTGTGTAGAGAATTTTCTTAGCTACCAATTGACAACAAAGTTATTTTGTATCATAATTCTGTCGCCAAGATAGATGACTTTCAAAAGAGACAACCATGAGATTATTTAAAAAAAAACAGAATCTCATTTATATCTTGATGATATACTGTGTAATAAATATCGACAAAAGTTGCTACTATCGAACAAAATGTGTTTGAAGATTTTCACACAAATTTGTTAAACAAGAGATTGTACGATATAAAATGGTAACCGGGTATTGCCATTAGGGGAGGAGAGTGATGACATACAAAGAATTGAGACATTTTTGTCTAAACGTAACATTTGTTAATATTTACGTATAGATAAGCAAACACATTACTGTTATTTATAAATACAAGTATCATTTATTATTATATAAATGTTTGATGTAGGTGTCGATGTTCGACAAGCAGAGATCCAAACGATACGCACAGTCTAATTGTTTTAAATCTTATCATATCCGAAGTTGAAGAATAATGAATCAATAATTACGTATTTTCACTAGTGATTTAATTACTGCGAAAAAAACAGATGTTATGTGCATAGAGCATTGCTTCAGAAATATACGCGTTGTTTTCTTCTTTATCCATGTTGCTGATCTCCAATGATAACTGGAATTGCTAAATTACTCTGCACAAAGAAAAGCGCACCTGATCGATCTGGTATACTATTGGCCTACCAAAGAGGCCAATACTCTATTTCAATAGTTGTTTCATTAGTGATTCTTTTCGAAACGCTATTAGTAAATTTTATAAAAAAAAAGGTGCAAAACTGATTCCGTACAAAGATAGTTGTTATAGCGTCGTCCCTAGTTTGTATTTTGGAGCAGGTTAGAATCAATATTATTGTAGAGTATTGAATTCTGTAAAAAGCGTATCAGTGTAGCCTCATTAGAGCTAAAACGTAGAACTCCTATGCGTTATTTAGTCTCATTGTACTAATACACAATACGTCAAGTGAAAAATCTCTAACAGACTATAGTTGTTTCCCAAGGATAATCGATCGCCAGAGAAAGAATTTGTCTTATTTATTTCTGCATTTCGAACAGAATGTTTTTTTTTCATTAGCGCTCTACTTTTTGTTTACTTTGTTGCTATTCGCTCGTTCTTCTCCATTTTCATATTCTGTTTTTCTTAATTTATTATTCTAACCATTGATTTAATTGACAAATAAGCTTCTTGCGCGCACCCATTGTATCCGCAGTAGGTCTCAACGCACTAGTATATATCTGGATAGGTTCAGAAACACTGGTATTCATTATTTCCCAAAGTTATAAATTAATCAGTTCATGCTTTTTATGTTGATCATATGACAACTAGAGTACTGTATGAATACCTGATCCACGAGTTGCGTCAATTACTATCATCATTGACATCTTGAATAGAAATTTTTATCTGAGATAATATCAAAAACTGCACTATTTAGAACATACACAAATGTATTCCAGCCATTCAGATATCGAGTAAAGTTTTACAACGTTCTAGAACAGTCTAAGTGTTGTTGTTAATGTTATTCAGCGTCTTTTTTCGTTGCTAAGGAACTTTAGACAAGGTGTCTGACGCCTGTTATTCTCAATTGCTATGGAAACGTATCCAATAAGAGTTGGCCTTTCTCCCATTTGCTACGAAGAGGAATAAGTCGAAAAACCTCGACTTGGAACTTTCACTCATTGTATGTTTCTTTGAAAAACATAATGTGAGTTTCACAAAATGAGATATTAGAATAAGCGAAATCTCGTCTACACGTTTTCACTAAAGAGTTAGTTTCTATAGAAATCGACATTGGCTAAAAAATTTCTTTTCAATATAGAAAAGTTTAAAATCTGTCACGGAAAACTAAATAATATGCTTTGAAGAGCAAGCTGAACGATTAAAAACTGTTTCGTATTTTGAATTTGATAAGTTTCAATCGAAACACAAAATTGACCAAAATAATATTTTGTGCAGCCACTATTTTGAAACAATATGCTGACAGTTATCCAATCTTGTCCCAGAAGAAAATTCTGAACATATATTCGGAAAGAGTGAAAAAGTCTGGCTCGAACCAATTGTCTCTAAGTGATCAAAAAATGATTTTCTCAGAAGTTTTGATCATAAGTTTAATATTAGCGTTCAACATTATGCTTTATTTTTTTTTGTTGTTTGTAACATGCAATTTTCATTTTTCTAGGTATCAATCTCTCAGCACAATGTTTATGGATACAAATGAATTGTCTTCATTATTGTGCTTTTTTTGATTCTCCATCAGTTTGTGAACTTCTTTTAAAACAATCTAAAGTTTTATCATGTAAAAATGATTAATTGTTATATTTAATATGAATAATTTTCTCTATTTTATTTTTTGTTAGTATTAAATCAACCATGTTCTTCATTTAAAAATGAATCTCCTCTTCATCTAGCATGTACAGCTTTATCTCAATCAACAGCTCAAATTCTTGTACAAGCTGGAGCTAATAAACAAATACTTGATAATGAACAACGAACACCTACAGGTTAAACCTTTGTATTTTATATTGACGAGAAAAAATAACTTTATTTAATTAGATTGCATTCCAAAAACAAATACGAAAGAACAACAAGAAATTGCCGATGCATTACGAATTCTTCTTCAAGATCAAGAATGTATACAACAACCATCACTTTTACTCGATTCACTAATTAGTAAGAAATAAATAATCTATTTAACTACAAAGGAACATAGCCAACTATTTGAACCTAAATTTTTGGCTATGAGTAAGACTCAGTGTCAGATATGAGTCAAATTTTTGTGATCCGATTCATTCCCATTTCTTAGCTCGACTCCAGTCGGACTCTGTCATCGACCAATTTTGTATTTCTCTTGAAAAAAATCAATTTTTCAATCCTTTTGTTCTTCCTTTTATTTCGTAGTTGAAAACAAAGGATATGTTCTTGATCTCTTTTCGTCGATATTTTGCAGTTGGAATAACATGATTATGTAATAGAATTTCTTCTTGTTCTGCTAAGCTTCTCCATACTCTCTTATATAAATTTTAAATGAAAAAAAAACATTCAAAATGCCTTTTGTATCTGCAAAATGTTCAGACTACAGATCCTTTCAGAAATTCAAAATTTTTTTCGTTGACCCGATCCGAGTCGGACAATGAACTCAATGTGACTAGGAAAACTCTGAAAGGTTCGAACTCATAGCGTGCCTTGACAAAGATCTGGTTGTCACATAGATATAGAAAAATAGGATTTTCTAGTTTTTCTTCGATCTCTCCTTTTTATTCAGAGAAGGTGAGATCTGCAATTATTAAAATAGAATTTTTATTGGATACACGAAGCAGAATCATATTCATTCAACAAAGGCTTGATCAATTTCAAGATAAGATTCATTTAGATCCATCATGTAATATAATATTAAATGTAAACTTTTTCTTTATTTTCTCTTATACCAAGTGACAGCAAGAAAAACATTAACTAATTAGTCGACTTCTTCGTCTATGTCGTTATTCTTGGATTTATCATTGAGTATATCTCTATAATCAAGTGTAACATCGATCTCCATTGTATTTGATGAGCATGATATATGATTTTGAATTCTTATGTAAAGATTTTCGGTAAGTTCTGTTGCTTTAGAATGTTGAACGAATCGAAAATCAGTCTTCGTAGAACTTCGCGTGTTAAGAGGAGATTAAGTTATAGCAACAAGACTTAAATAAACGTTATCTCGAGACTAATCGGACCTTCTTAAATGAATATGATTCTGGTTCATGTATCCAATAAAATTCTATGTTAAAAATTATAGATCTCAACTTCTCGGAATAAAGAAAAAAACAACAATCGAAGAAAAACTAAAAAATCCCATTTTCTTACATCTATGTGGCAAACCAGATCTTCATCTAGGCACACCATGATCTTGAAGCCTTTTATAGTTTTCTTAGTCTTCCTAAGTTTTATTCATAGCCAAGATGTAGATGGGAATGATGTTTTGCAATTGGGTATACTCCCTTATAAGAAAAATAATTCATATTTTCGATTATTCAACTTTATTTAGATTCGGACAATCATATTGCAGCACAATTTCAAATAGGTGAACGAGTTCGACTAGCAAATAATAAAGTATAAAAATTCGTTTTTTTTTCTTCATTATTTGATTAATATTTAATTATTGAAATAGACTGGAACAATAAAATATTTTGGTAGTGTTCCATTTGGTGTTAATCTTTGGTATGGTATAGAACTCGACGAATCAACTGGTAAACATGATGGTTGTATAGGAGGTATACGTTATTTTACGTGTCCACCAAATAGAGGTAAATCATTTAATAATGAAATTTCTTATAGTTCTGTTATTCATTAGGTATCTTTGTACAACCATCATCTTTACAAAAACTAACACCAGTACCTCAATCACCTGAACGCGAACGTCGATTTCGTCCAATTAATTTTCCTACGGTCGATACTAGTAGTATTACAAGTCGTGTTGATACTGGTAATTATTTCATTATTAAAATCTAAGTTGTTGGAAAAAAATTTAATAACAACGTATTTTTTGTTTTCTTTTCTATAGTTTTAAATAATTATCTCAAATTCAGATAATGATTTTAATAGCCAATGAAGTTTTCTTTTACCAAGATTTCTAAAACAACCGAACACGGTAGTTTGCAGATCGTAGAAGACTTCTTCGGATTTATTGTTTATTAATACCATTTTAAAGAGAACAAAATGAGGAGTCGTCACATTTTCTATGACCTTCTCTTAAAAAGTTAAAAGTATCACGAACACCAAAAAAATATGTTTTTTAGTCGATTTTTTGATAAATTTCGTTCTTTTTTGTGATATCTTTAACTTTTTAAAGGTAGGTCGTAGAAAATGTGGTCACTCTTCATTTTGTTTTCTTTAAAATGACATTATTAAAAAATCGATCCCAAAAAAGTTTTCTGAAATCTGAAAACTACCATGTCCAATTTTTTAGAAATCTTATCATCATAGTTCGTTTATGAAATCTCGATAAAAGAAAACTTTATTGACTATTAAAATCACTATCTGAATTTGAGCTAATTGCTTAACGTTACAGAAAAAAAAAAAGAATTCATAAACTTTTTTTTCATCATCTTATTATTTATGTCTTATTAAAGGTTTAAAACGAGATAATTCAGCAGACGGTCGACCAACAGAACAGTATCATACAAATGATCGAGTATTTCTTTCGAAAAATCGATGTGGAACTATAAAATATGTTGGACCAACATCATTAGGATCTGGTAAAACAATGTATGAAATAGATAAATATCGATTGATTTCGATAATTTTAAGGGATATGGTATGGCATTGAATTGGATTTACCTGATGGTTTACATGATGGATTTTTAAGTGTTGATGGACAACGCTATTTTCAATGTAAACCACAACATGGTGTATTTGTACGAAATCAAAACTTGAAAAAGTATATTAATTTCACATGAACATGTTATTTTAATTGTGTTGAATTGTATAGATTAAATAACAATGATCGACTAACACATTCATTATCGAATTCATTAGATCATCAAACAAAACGAAATTCAAGAATGACAACTTCAGATTATGATACAGCAAGTAAGTGTTTAAGTAGATATCATCTTCAAAAACTTTTAAAATTAAATATAGCTTAAAATTAATGAATTTTAACGCTTTACTCTCTGTTACTAACCAATAAAAGTTGGTCTAGAGTCAATTACAAGAATAGCCTACGCAGGTAATATGATAATAGCACTAATATAGTTAAATTTGAGTGAGGTCTTTTCACTGTAGAGATGTAGAATGGGTCGGATCTAGGATATTTACTCCCATCGACGTGGGTGACGGATATAGGTATAGGGTATGCATGTGAGTGTGAATGAAGAGAAAACCCGTACCAGCATTCACACCAACATCCACGAATAACTGTTCGGCTTCCGATTTATGCTTCGACACTTGCACAGGCGGCTATTTTTGGATTAAAATCAGTACGTTTATTTCCTGAATCATGTTGATATCGTTAACGTTCATTTTATTTTTCTAATATGGAATCCTTGTTTCTATGTCTAATTGTTAAGGTCACGCTCAGATGAAAGACTATAACAAAAACTGCAGGTTTCTATCTTTTATCAACAAGAACGTATTTGAAAACTACCATGGAATGGTTTTTCACTTGCTATCAGTACTAATTGAGTTTTTAGCATGAAGACCGTGTTATTTATGAGTTTATATTGAAAATAAAATAATTTTTTAGAATAATCATTTTTTTATATTATTTACTATGAAGGGGTCAAAAATGACTTAAGCTGTCATGAAAAATGATGTGTTCAAATCTGTAATCAAGAAATTTTTAAAAACTATTTTGCAAATAGATTATGTTCATAGCAGTATCAATCAATCTGATAAACTTCCGGATAATCAACCTATGTAACTAAATAAGATGACCAGACGATTCGACACGGGTGTCTGTGTAAGGTAGGATCTTTCATATACCCTCACCCATTCATTTTTGATACTCTTTCAGGATACTTTCAGACTAACATGTTCATACGACAAATTGTCCTGGCATCCTAAATACAATTTTAAAAAAAAACTAATTTTCCAACATAATTGAAGTTTAATTTTTTCACAAGACTCTACATAATATTCGAGAGCCGTTTCGATTCGATGTTTTACTACTCCGAATTGAAAGTTTTTATGAATGAGTTAAAAACCGAGAAGTAAACGATTAATAGTTTCTAGATATGAGTGATAAGTATAAATAAAGATATGTGCATTCAAGATGAAATATAGAAACCGAATGAAAATAGATTTTAAATTTTCTATTAGAAAATATCTGATAACAATGTGAGATCCGCACAAGAATAGGATCAGATGTACCCGAACCAAACGAACATGATATACTCTTAAGGAATAGTTTTTCTTGTTATACAAACGAGTCCAAAATATAATAAAGAGTAAACCTGCAAATTCAAGAAAACTGTTTCTCCTGTATTCTTAATATTCACTATAAATGTTTTCATCTTTTTTTTCCTAGTGACAGCTTCAAGTATTGTTGAAGACGATCCAATTAGTAAATCTATGGCATCTAGGTAGATTAATTGCTATCTTTTGAAAAACTTAATGGCTTCGAACTTTTATTTTTTATCTCTAGTGTGCACAGTATTACATTTCATATAGGTGACAAAGTATATTGTCATAATCATCTTGGTAAATCTTTTTTGTTTAAATACGTCCTTACTTTATATAAATATATTTATTTTCTATTAGCTATTGTACGTTTTATTGGTAGAACAGTGTTTGCTGATGGTATTTGGATCGGTATTGAATTTGTTTCACGACCACTTGGTAAAAATGATGGATCTGTTAATGGACAAATTTATTTTCAATGCAAACAAAATCATGGTTTATTTATACGACCAAATCGATTAACATTAACTAAAAAATAATACATCCACCATTGTTTTTTTTTCTGCAGGAATTTGATAACTGTGATTTTGTTTTTGTTTTTGTTTTTACACTGTGATAAATCTGTCGTTTACTTTTAGTTTGATAATATTATATTAGTTCCATAGATTTGTTTTTGTTTTTGTCTTTTGTAGAATAAAAAAAAATGTCAAAAACACCTACAAGAAACGCTTCTGCGGTTTTAATGGATCCAACATCAGAAAGTGATGATCGATGTAAGAATTGATGAAAAGATTTTTGATTTTTCAATTTTGTATTATTTTATTTTAAGTTGATGATTATTCATCAGACAATCCACTTGATTTTACAGCTGGTAGTATTCGTCCAAATGAACATGCTTTTTTTTCTGATGTAACAACAATGAAAGAATTAGAAAATGATCTTACGGATTTATTACAACGATTTCGTGAAGGAACATTACTGGCATTTAGTAAGAACTATGGTTTTGTTTTTTTGTTCTTCTATATTCATTATATTTAATTCAATAAACAAATAGGTCCACAATTTACTTGTACAAAAATGGATACAATTCGAGAAACTCAAGAACAATTAGCAAGATTACATTTTTCTTTAGATAAAGATTTATCAACAATAAAGTATGAAGAAAATTTTCTTTTTTCATTTTATTTAAAAATAAGAATTTTTTTTCTATTCTAGTATTGAATCAGATGAATGTCAAAAGAAAGCAAATGAAAATATGTCATGTCTTATGCAAAAAGTAAATAAGATAAAAACAAGAAGAAATTAAACACTAACGAGGGAAATCTTCCAATTGTACAATTGCTTTTGACTCGAGACTATGTGTATTATGTAAGCTCAAATGAGTATTAAATATCCTGAAAATAATTCGTGCTCTTAGATTATTGCTGCGGCAATACTGTACTTTTACGGTAGTTTTTAAGTAAATATCGTGATTTCCCTCAGAAAAACTGATTTTCGAATTTCGATTTGTAACTTTGCATAGAGACAGGCATTAAAGTGAGTAGCTTCAGGTCTTTTGATTTGCTTCTACTCTGAAATAAGAATATCAAATCTATCGGTGTATATGAGTGATGTAAAAGACACGCTATTATCATAATTGTATCTTAGGATAGGAACAGCGACAAGACTTGAAATATTCTCAAAAAAAAAACTACTCACTTTAGGGTCTGTCTCTATGCATAGTTTCAAATCAAAATTTGAACATCAGATTTTTCAAATTTGAACCCACTATTACTATATAAGGAAACTATTGCATATAGCATTTGAAATATCAATGGTCTTTTTCAGATTGGGTCATGTATAACTACATGCGGATAATCACAGCTGTTAATTATCGTTTATCGCATTTTTTACAGTTCTGAACGCAAGCGAGTTTTTGGAAAACGGATTTCACATGTGCATTAGCCACATGCTTATAATCTTGACAAAAAGTTTGTCATTTCGAATAATGGTTAGATGTGAAGAACGCGTGGCTGACTTGAGTCGTGGCCTATGCGTCGAGAAGAAGAATTTGTCATGGTAACTAGCGAGTAAAACACAATCATGTTTTTGTTTAGACTAGTTTCGTAATTAGTAATATATTCATTTTTTCTTGAAGAATATTTGACGCAGTATCAATGGACACTTGAAATTTAGCTCTTAGTTCCCGATGAAATAAACTAAATTGTTTACTTGGTATATATGCTCTTCGCCGAAACGTACTTCGTCGAAAATACTTTTCGGCCATGGAGGACGCCGCAAAGGTGCGAGTAAGGGCCAAATGAGTTAACCTCTTCATGCTGAACAAGCCTATATAAGAATTAAAGGGCTCGCAACAGTCTAAAGAGTCCTACCAGTCTTTCAAAGAAATGCTTTTCGGCGAAGACGGTTACAACCGTATTGTTTTTAGTAAAAGAATAGCTTTATATAAAATCTGCTTGTCCGATGGGATGGAGCTGTACCATCCCACGTCAAGCCGTCGGTCTATCAGAAAGTGGCAATCGAAGAGTTCTATATAAAATTTCGATGCCGATCGCATGACTAGTTGAGAAAAAACATATTGAGAATTCATTATAAAATACAAAGCAATTAAATACGAGTCAAATAAAGATTATTTTTATTTGAATAAAACATTTTTTTTCTTCGTTTTTGTAGTTACAAAAATTAACTGAAGAAATGTAAGTAATGTTTTTTTTGTGACAAACGGAGTTTTTATAGATTTTTTTTATTATTGTTTTATAGTGAAAAGTTACCTCAAATGCCTTCTGATCATCCAGTTAATAGTGGAACTGAATAAATGTTTTTTTTCTTTTCTTTTTTGAAATAAAATTCACAACAGAAAATTCATTACATCATCATGAATCACAACTTTTCATCGGCTTTGTAGAATGATTGTCTGTTATTACACAATCAAACAGCATTCTTGCGTAGCAACCTAGAAAAAAACACATGTATTTAAAGAGCCAAGATAAGCACTTCAATAAAAATATATAAAAAAATATTCATTCAACATGATTTCGTATCCAGAAACTGAACAATTCCGAAGTGTAATTACTAAAGTTCTTCGATATACACGCCGACATGAAGCAGATCGAGATAAAGAATTACCTGTTATGAAATTTATTGGTACCATTAAATTACATGGAACGAATTCAGCTATTTGTTATCAAAAAGATTCAGGACATTGGTGTCAATCACGAAATAATATAATTACACCACAAAAAGATAATGCTGGTTTTGCACAATATATTGATCCATTAGCAGATGAATTTTTTAATGATTATGTTCTTTCTCAAAGTTCAATAATTCGAGAACAATATGAACAAGGTCGTAAAATTATAATTTTTGGTGAATGGTGTGGTGGAAATATTCAAAAGAATGTTGCTATATGTGGTCTTACGAAAATGTTTGTCATATTTAAAATACGAATTATTGGAGATCAAATAAAAACAATGGAAGATGAAGATCAAATACAAGTTGATAAAAATTCTTTTTGGATTGATCCAAAAGATTGGTCAAATATAAAATGGCATAAAAAATCGATTTATAATATTTATGATTTTCCTACTTTTGAAATTGATATTGATTTTAATTCTCCGCAACTTTCACAAAATAAACTTGTTGAAATTACTGAAGAAGTTGAACGTCAATGCCCTATTGGTACATATTTTAATAAAGTAGGTATTGGTGAAGGTGTTGTATGGACTGAATGGACATTAACTCACGGTGATTTAACATTTAAAGTAAAGGGTGAACAACATTCTGTCAGTAAAGTTAAAACATTAGCACCAGTAGATACAGAAAAATTAGCAAATATTCAAGAATTTATTGATTATGCATGTACAGAAAATCGAATGTATCAAGGACTTGATTATTTACGTGAACAACAATTAACAATTGAAATGAAAAATATTGGAACATTTCTTAAATGGCTTCTAAACGATATTATTAAAGAAGAAAAAGATACTATGGAAAAATCAAATATTGATATTAAAGATTTTCCACGCGCCATGCAAAATAAAGCAAAAATATGGTTTCAACAACATTTATCTTAACTTTTATTCAATTTTATAATAAATTTTCTAGAACTATTTTTACCGTGAACAAATTAAAAAGAAAAACAACTTTTATAAATTGTGTTGAGAAAGACAATTATAAAATTTTGACTACAGAATGACATATATGTAGATTTGTAGAGAAAGAGTTCCTCTATCTAATGGTATACGCATCATCCCCGATTCTACTACGTATCATTGAAAGAATCAATCACAAGAAATACATCCTATAATCATCGAGGATACATGCCTATAGAAATATTCTAGTTTCTTCCCAAAGAGTAATTTCACAAACTCAAGACTTTCTAGGAAACAGTATTCAGATATTTGCTACAATATACACTAGTCATTATGGAAAAAATGTGGACTAAAAATAGAAAGATGTTAAAGTGGACTTGGTCTGGAATCTGAAAAATGACATATATATATGAATTATACATCATCACGCTATAGTTTTAGTCCATATTGTTTCCCATAATGATTAGTCTATGCTGTAGCGGATACTTGAATATAGTTTTTGTAGAAAGTCTTGAGTTGACACAATTACTCTTTACGGAGAAACTAGGATATGTCTATAGCTATGTACGCTCAATGACCATATAATGTATTCCTCGTAATCGACTCTTTTTTTTTTTTTTTTTATTACGCTTTATTTAATGTAACACTCGGAAGTGCTTACATGGTGATATATAGGAGAAAAAAAGAATATGATACTTAAGCATTAAGCTGTAGCAAGGAGGCGGAGAAATTCACTTATTCTATAGTATCACTTTGTCAGATATGACTAATCTCATGAGGGTATGGGGGGGGGGGGGGGGGATCAAAAAAAGATAGAGAGAGAGAGAAGAAAAAAAAAAGCATGTAGGAATTTTAACAATTCAAAACAGCAACAAGCAAGAGACACAAAACAAGAGAGCAAATTGTAAGCGATACAACAGAAAAAAAACAAAATAAACTGCATCCAGAGATAAGAAAAGAAAAACCAGTAAACCAGTACAGGATTAAAGAAAGGAGAAAGAAAAATGAAAAAAGGAAGGAAGAAGAGAAAAGAAAAAAAAAGAGGTAATAGAGGAGGATCGTAGGAGGTAAACAGAAAAAAGGGAAGAGAGTAGGATTCTGCTTGGTCTATTTCTTCCATACGTACTACTTAATTTCGGTGAATGATATCCATCTTAAAAGAAATGACTCATGCTTCTCAATCAATTTTTTTACACGATTTGTACGGAAAAACTGCCCAAGGTGATCGTTCTTTCTTTTGTAAAAATCGTCCCAAAGAAAGACATCATTATAAAATGGTGAACGACCAAGATCTGTTGTGTGCATATATTTTAATCTTTTCTGAATATATTTTTTTATATAAAAATCAATTATCTGTTCATTAGTTATAGTGAATAAGTTACGAGCTGAGGTAAATGGACATCGATGCACTAGTCTTAGACCTACACGAAATTTCTGCTGAAATACTTGTTGTTGAGAGACAGGTAATAATGGAAAGAAGGGAAATATCCAAGCAAAATAAGGAAATGTATAAGCAAAGAAACATTGTCTGAGTGCCTAATCGACTCTTTTACCAACACAAAATAGAAGATATTAATAGTATCATGGCTGTTTGATACAGAGGCAAGAGTCATATCATTCCTAGGAACCATAGCTCAAATGAATCGCATGATAAATAAATTTGAGCATCTCTTGTTTGATAGGGAGAGATATTCATACCATCATGGACCGAATTACTCCGTGTAATCTATCTTTTCTTAACATCAAAATCAATCAAAGGAAGTCACTATCAGTTTAGTTATGTTAGAATAAATCCTTTCAGCATTTCGAACTTTGATAATTGAGTACTTTCATGGATTCATATGATAAGTATCAACATAAAAATTGAAATTAGACTCATCTGAAAGAAGATATATAGTGTTTCTATAACATCATGATATCTCATATGGATTATAAATACTTGATATTATAACTATGTCCATGCAACAAAATTTTAAGATATTATTCAAACATTTCAAATCCCAGTATCTATGCAATTTTTCTAGGATGCAGTGTGTCCTAATTATCTATATGCAAAAAGTTGCATCGGGATCTTTTCGAATTATAGAGAAAATGGTATATAAATTAGCTGTTCGATGATATCTATGTTTAGATTTGATAGCTATCTAAGATAAAAATATTTCAAATCAGATGTATATTTATATAAAATTTTGTGAAGCATTTTCTATTGCATTCACTAATATATAACATTACTTTTGTTTGTTTTATTAGAATACCTAACTCTTAAATTATTTTGCATACTACACCCCATATACTCCTCGCCATATATACAATGTCGAATTAGTAGAAAAAAAAACAGTACCATTATGAAACTATTCGAAAGTTAGCCAGTATTATTGATCATCTTTCTAATGATATATAATTAACGGAGAGTTTTCTTATAATTTTCAAATAGAACCAATTTTATTAACAAATCCGTCTCGTTTCTTTTTTATCTTTTTTTTTTATAATCGAAAAAAATTTCGAAATAGACCTATTAATAATGCTTGTATAGAAATTCATCTTTGTAAATGTACAAGAAAATCTGTAAGATGGCATGAAGACTTATTTTTATATACAAAGTTTTTGAAACCTTAACATCATTCACTAAAACGAGCACGAATGGATTGACATTTTTCGAGTTCTAAATCAGCTTTGATTCACAAGGTACGAAATTGTTCGTAACAGACAAACTAAGTAGTACGATTACTTCATCGTTTGTAGCTGATGAAGGAAAATCTCCAGATGTCAAATTGCTTTTCCACCGAGACGATTTTTTATTGAATACGTACTAGTGAATAACAGATCAGGCCATGTGAAAAATTAACTTTTGAGTTTCGACTTCACACATAGCATGAACAAAGTTCTTAATGAGATTAATTAATTGTACAACTAGAATTTTCTTTCTGAAGATGTAAATATATGAAAAAAATTTGCTTTTGCATATGAGAGAATTTTGAATATTGAATATTTTAGAATAGGAGATACTAGAAAAGTTATAACTTGTTCAATGAACCAATTTCATTGAGACTTCTGTTCGTACGAAGTTTGAAGTCGATTTTTCATGTGATCTGAGGAGGATGAAAAACTTACTAAAATTTCGATATGTCAAAAACGAAGGTACGGAAAACCATACCATTCTAGGCTTTTCTATTAATCTCTAGTGTGCTCATCGAATAAATATAGTTTCGGTCGAAAAGCGATTTGACATTTGGATAGATTTCCTCATGAGATATTCTTAATGTTGTTTACAAGCAGAATCTACATATTATTATCCAGTTTATACATGTCTCATTCAACTAAAATAGCAGATTTAATATTACTCATTAACATAGTAGGCGCCTTTAGACTAATTTTTCATTTATATGATGAAATGGACGATGTAACAAGCATTATCGGTATCGTAATTACATCTTTTGTCGTTCTTATTACAATCTTGACAGGAATTCTATACTATCTCATCGTATATCGTCATCACAAACAACAAAAACAAGTAGTTAGTGACAATGATATCTGTACAATAACAGAAGAAATAAAAGTTTCAACGACATCATTCTGAAAGCTAGTGTAATCAAAATATCATGTTTTTTTTTAAATAAAAGACTCATTATGATCAAAAATGAAATATTAACACATATAAGTTTACCCGCTCTTGTACTAGAACCTAATATCTAATCAAAATAATATTTCTATGTTTTTCTCTAACACTGACACATTTTCAAGCAATATCAAAAAACGTAATTACATAATTGCTTTTCTTACCGGTACAATCACTGGCATAGCATGGTGGATTATCATTGATATATTAGTTCGTTCAACAGAACATTTATTTGCTCGAGTCTATATTCTACCTGGTATTGCTATAACACTAATGCTTATTATTCTTCATTTCATTCCTGATACGGGAATACAAATGAATAATGAAATGACAAATATATTTAATGGTAGTTCAAGTTTATGTTGTTGTATTTCAACAAAATGTGCTCGACTGTTATTTTTTCTTGCTTTTCTTATTATCTTTTCGGCTGTGATTAGTAGTATATGGATATTTATTGCAAATTATGTTATAACTGATGAAATAGATAAAAAATTAGGTTATATACAATGGTTTGGAATTGGTAATATGATTTTTACAATATCACTTGCTATTGCTACTTTATTAAGTCGATTTGGAAGAAAAAAAATCGATTCAATGACAATATAAATTTTAAAACAAAAGCGATCACTCACGACATCTGAACATATTTTTCTTTTTTTGTTTTTTTCTTTTCAGCGAATACTATTTGACATACATATATTTTACTTGTAAACAGCTTAATACATTAAAAAATAAGTTTAATACATTAGACATATGAAGTATTTATATCAATTTAAAAAATGACTTCAGGAAATTCAATAAAGAATATTCATTCAAAAATCGTACTCGATTATTCATTTTGTAATTCAAGTAATATATGGAATTATCTTGGTATTATAACAATTATTCTTTTTCTAACTATTTTAATATCATATTTAAAACATCGCCAACGTCAACAATCATTACGTCATTATAAATCAAATTATAATTGGTTTTATGTATTTATTTTAATTTTACTTGCTTTATTTTTTGTTATACCATGTATGTGTTGGTTATTAACATTAGTTGAAATTTTAGTTACACTTATACGTTATGGTCATATTGCAGCATCACCATTGCCAATACTTTCATTACCTATACGTTTTTTAGCATTTACATATATGAAAATTATTTCAGCTATATATATGTATTTGACAGCACCAGGAACATTTATTTTTCTTTTATTCTTTATTATTTTAAAATATATTAAATTTGTAATTCTTATAACTATACATTTTGGTTTGCTAGGATTTCTTCTCTGTTCATGGATTGGTTTTGCTATACCATTGTATGCATTGAGTGAAGTTGGAAATATTGATTCATGGATTGACTTAGCATTTAATAGTCAATTACCATTATTTATTATCTTTCAGTTTCTACCACTTCTTCTAGCTGTAAAATCACTGATTTTATGGATATTTCTATTTATTGTATTTCTTATTGGATGTTATATTCAGCTTGGTTTAACATTATTATTTTTTTGTAAATGTTTACTTATTATTGTTCTTGTACGTTTTACATATGTGATAGGAAAATGTTTTGTTGTGTTTAGTTTTTTTACATCGGTGACACCAAATGCTAGTAGAAATAGTGATGATGTTCAATGAAAAATGACAAAAAAATAAACTATAAAATAAAACTAGACGAATAGATATAATCAAGCCTATATGATGAAAGTAGCATTTTGTTTTTGGTACCTACAGGTAAGAATGCTTGCTAGGATTTAATAATAGAAGCCAATAGGAAATCAATGCTAATTTATACTTAGAATTTGAATCTATATTGTTTTTACGTTTAAAGAGAAAAGCTTTGTATGCTTTAAAATTGATACCTGCTTTTTATTATGTAATGTAATTTATTAACAAATTGAAAGAGATATTGTTAAATCTGTGTTGTTTAAAACTAAAACAGATTTTAAAAAAAACTATACATTCAATTTATTTTATATAATCATAATGAGTACTTCTGGAGGAAAGGGCTTTAGCGAAATGTAGACCTGTGAATAAATATTTTCAAAGGAAAATGTCAAATGGCAATTGTCATTTACAGTCCTTAGCAACTGACGTTAAAAGCCATTAAGTACGAATCCTTCTCTAACAACTGAAGACAACAAGTATCAGTATCTTTTTCTATAGTTCTTTAGCAACAGGAAAAAGCAGTGAATAGTATTAACTACAAAGCATTTTAGACTATTCTAGGATAATCTAAAACCTTTCTTGATATTTACATAGTTAGCATACATTTTTGAATGTTCTAAATAATACAGTGTCAGATTTTTGCGTAGATAAAGGATCATATGATACATCTCAAGGATAATAATTAGTGATGTATTGATTTAGCATAGCCATCATTTAACCAACACAAAATACCATGAACTGATCAAGTTTTAGCTTTTCGGAAATCACCAATATCAGTATTTCTAAGTTTATCGAGCTACATAATAGTGTATTGAGACTTATTTTAGAAATAAGGATTGTATAAAATAGGGTTATTTGTCGATTAAATCAATTATTAGAATAATAGTAATAGTAAATTAAGAAAAATGGAATAAAAAAAGAAGAAAATAAATAACGAGCGAATAGTAACAATGCAAATAAGAAATAGCGCTCCAGTATAAAAATAAAAGAAGAAAAAAATCAATTCTGTTTGAAATGCAGAAATAATTCGGTCAAATCTTTTCTCTGACAATCGATTATCCTTAAAAGGCACTTATTGTCTTCTAGAAATTGTTCACTATGCGTATTTTGCATTATTATAGTAAAGCTCAAGAAGATATATGAATTCTACGTTTTAGCTCCAAAGCAGTTGCACTAATAAAAATTTCTTCGAATATTTCGATATGCGAGAAAAAGTGAAACATTGTTGATCAGCTCAGCTATAGTTAATCATTCAATAACAGTAATATTTTCACATGACTTATCTGAATGGTAATTATATGAGCAACTTCATTCTGTAACAACGTAATTTCGCAAAATAAAAATATTCATGTCTCCGGACTGGGGCATTTCTTTTAGCTAGTTTTTATGTTACAGACATATATTGAGTTACTCTAGATACTTTGAGCAACTCAGTCTATAGACCTAAATTTTGCTGACGAGGGAACATATCCAACTGTTAAATCGCTTTTGGGTCGACTATAGCCTCAAATGATAGATCTCAATGAGTTATCAAATACTCTAGAAGGAATTGGTTTTCCAAGCCTCCTGAGCAGAGATATATGCTCATTACTATTACCAGTTTTGCTGTACTACTGTACTAATACATTTGATATCTGGACTAAACATGCTCCGATCTGGCTCAAATTTATATCAGTGTTAAAGCACTCAGTGCTGATTAAGATCCCAGAGTTTGAAGATAAGTCAATGTTTCTTATCGAAGATATGAATTTGTTTCATATACTGATTGATTATTAAAACACAACATTTGCTCTTGCTTAAAGATACAAGAATTGACTCATCTGAAATTTTCAGCACATATTCATCTCATAATTACCAAGTATGTGAAAATCTCAACTCATTTGTCGGTATTTTACTCAATAAGAATTAGAAGAGTGAATTTGTGTACTCTTTGTTAAATGATCTAGTTTCAGGGATATGATTGTAAATTAGAAACGCATCAACAAAAACGAAGAAAATGGAGTGAATCATTTAGTAAACGGCAGTGAGAGTTGTTAAAAAAATGTTCAATACATAATATATGGTCATGATAAATTGTATCCGATTAATAAGTATGAGGAAAAATCATACTCATCAGAGGGGTGTCCAAGGACTGAGGAATAGGAATTCCTACTCAGTTCCCTGACATTTCCTTGAATGCTAAAATTAATAAAATACAATATCCACGGTATTTATTACTCTTACACTCGTTTTCATCAAGAAATTTGTGCACATGAACGTATGAGTACGAAAATTATTGCAAAAAAAGCATTATCTTGACTTTCATGAATGAGGGAACTGTGATGGAAATAATGGTCAATTCCCATTTCCCCAAGGAATTATCATAGCTACACTGACAATTCCTCTACAAATTAGGAATTCCTATTTCTCAGTCCTTGGACACTGCTGGCTGCCTTAAAAGAACGCGAATTTCTTTAGAAGTCGTTTGAATTTGACTTCGATCAGTGTTTGTGACACAAAAAGTTCTTGTCTGATTGATAGAACGAGTCATTGTCATGAGCAAATCCTTTGACGAACGGCTTTTCGCTAAAGTTTCTTGTATTACAAGTCAAGAGCCTCCTGTTTCATTTTTCTGTATGACAACGAAATTTCGACATGCAACTTGAATACGCTTGCATTTGAGAATATTGGTGTACGTTTTCATTGTATTATGCTAAAAAACTGTGATCCTAAGATTTTATCAATACATATGAGTAAACAAAGGAAGAAAAAAGAGGGATAACAAAAACAACAACAATAAAAAAGAAAATCATAACAACAGACCGTATAACACAATAGCGATGTCTACAGGAAAAACATTAACACATAGAAACAAAATATTCTGGGAAACTCTCAAGGAGTTGGATCTCGTCAATCTCATAAATAGGTACAGAAGAACAAGAGGGGATAGAAACCATCTACTATTGGTGTACGTTTTCTTGGTATTGTGACACGTATGCAAAAGAAGAAAGAGACGTATAGGTAAAAAATATGGAGACAAAAGCGAACATGTACAATGACGAGTGTATCCCTACGAAATCAACTGTTTACTCTATGAAAATGTCATGCTCCATTGATCCACGTAACGAGACACAAATTGACAAAAAGTCAGAAATTTTGTCATCAACAAAGTACGGCGCAAATCTAGTTGCGAATACACATAAAACATAGTTTATATATTTCAGTATCATTCTGTACGTGAGTATACTTTATTTTCAACTTATTTAAGAGACATTCCATGAGATAATCCATGTAAAAGAATTAGGATTAAAATCAGATTAAAATCGATCACAATTATACGCTTCTAATCTGTTTTTAATCATTTTTCAACTGATTTTAGTCAAAAATAACCGAAAACATCAAGATTTCATTGATTATTACGATTAATATCGATTATAATTGATACAAACCGTTGAAAATCGGTTGAAAACTGTTTCATTTATCACGAAAAGAAAACAATTAAAATTGATGTTTTTCGTACAATTTTTAATCGATTATAATCGACATTGATCCTAATAATTAATGAAATTTTGATTTTTTCGGTTATTTTTGATTAAAATCGATCGAAAAATGCTTAAAAATCGATTAAAAACGTATGATTGTAATCGATTTTAATATGATTTTAATTCTAATGTTTCTTACATTCCATTTAAAAAAATAAACAGAAAAATCAATAGATACATGATTTTAATCGATTTCAGCCGTAATTAATTGATGAAAATCAAATAATTGTAATGTTTTTTGATTCAATGTAAGATTATAATCGATTTTTCCGCATAATGGATTAGGAATTATTAGTTTTTAACCGATTATAATCCTTTTCTTCACTGGAATTAATTAAAATCGATTTATAGCAAGTATAATCCATTATCTTGGATTTTTTATTAGCCAATTAAAATCAATTTTTATCAGTAATCAATTTTCATTAGTAGTTGATGACTTTTTTTCGATTTAAATCACGCAATACTGATTATAATTCAGTGTAATCGATTAGATTTTCGAATCGATTATAATCATTGGAATAAGAATCGTCCATAATCAAGTCATGCTGGTTATAATCCACCGGAATCGATTAGTTTTTCGAATCAATTATAATTATTAGCTGAGGTGGATCATTTAGCTTAACTTAAAATTTAGTTTAGTTTTATTATCTCACACTCAATAGTATGTTCAACATTTTTATACGAAACGCTTAACTCACTGAAAATTAGATTTGAATGGTTGATTTACGCAAAATTCATTCAAGTTTGAGCTTTTTATTATTGCTAAAAAGGCATACCATGCTATTGTTCAACCATACAAAAGAGGATTGCTGATAAGCTCTGATCGATGCTGAACAGCAATAGATTTTGTCTCTACAACAGACAGAAAAATCGCAATTGAAACATGCTTCGCTGATGTGTCTTTTTTATCGATCTGTCAGATTCGAGAAAACTGCTTTCACCGCTATTGTAAGGACAAAACCTAATGCTGTTCGGAGCCAATCATGGGCTATCAATAGTTCTTTGTTATGTGACCAGAACAATAGCATGGTGCGTCTCTTTAGAATAATCGAAAACTTAAAATTAAATGCTATTTGCTCAACACAATCACTTAAACTTTATATTAAACATTAAGTTTGTTGTTAACACTTAATTTTTAAAATAAAGTTTTAAGTAAAAAACTTAAACCTCATATTAAGTGTTGATTAATAAAACTTAACTTAATCTCAAGTTAACAGTCCATCCGTAGTCATAGGGATACAGATTTGATGAGGGAACATTTCTAGGTGCTAAAAAGCTTTTAAGATCAAAATTTATCCATCAATACGACACATCCACATCAAAAAAAGGCCTAAAAGGATATGGGCACAAACTACAATTTGGTCGAGATATTGACATTGTTATATGATTCTTTTATGAGAATACTACTTTTTCGATTTAATCGAAGTTTCCAATTTTCACCAGAAATTT